TGTGTTTTGCAGTATCTACGGCAATACACATAATAGTTTAATGTAGAATTTGTGGACACGTTGATAATATTTCATTATACGGAGCTTCCATATTCCAACGTTATCAAAATAAAACGTTTCGCGGCATCCATACTGATAATGTGGCATAAGACCCGTTGCTAGGCAACGAACGCGAAATAAATAACTACACAACAGCCGTTGCTAAGTAACGGTTCAGCAAACAAGCATGTTTCGATGGCAGTATTGTACTGTAAGTGAGGAACGGTGTTTTCTACGTGGTCCGTACGTAGCAATGTGTCAATATGCCACAGTACTTTTCTTGTTTAAACAAAAATGGTCATAGGAAGAGCGCATACTTTTTGGATATATGTTTATTTAAATCCTCTTCGGCTCTGTGATCATCTACGAACCTTGGCATCTTGTACGACAGAAGCCAGTTTCTGTAATTTTTCCTTTTAGCGTTATTTCTGTCTCTTCACTTTCAGCTGCCATAAAATATGCTCTGTATCTTCCAGATGTTTCAGTCTGGCCATTCACAGTTTTCCTCTAGCTTCTGGCTTAATTAAAGAACTTCATAGTCTGCCCTGTGTTTGATCCATTTTAATCACAGGTCCCAGCCATACCAATATTTTTTTAATATCCTGTACTAGATGAAGGGTTCTCAAAGAGATATGTCTGAATATACATCTTATTAAAGAAAACCTATTCAGATTATCCCCCATTTATGCAAATATAATATCGTGAGCAGATTTGAAACTAGTCGAGAAATAGTTATTGCTTGCCTAGTATATTGTGGAATGTCTGCTGAAAGCCAGAATTGCCAAGCCAGCAGAGAGAGTCGTTGCTAGGGAACGGCTCTATAAGCACGCCACGGAGCTATCAAGCGAGCATCCGTTGTTACGCAAGGGTCGGTATCCGTCACATGACCACAATAACAGTTATGAATGCAACACGCAGAGTAACTGCGATGGGCGATGTTCTCTGTGGTGTCTGCCCAGGGACTGCATACACTTACCACTCCTTCGAAGGCTTTCTCTTGTTTATATATGATTATATAAAAAGCTGCAGGAAAAAAGTAGAAGTCATACATAATCATGAGAATGAACATGTTCGCGGTATAGGACAAGGCGAAGCCAGACACAGAAAATATAAGAGGCTTAAACTTGGCGGTGGGCAAGCTTACGACCGTTCAAGGGACTAAACTGCCGTTGTAGCATATCATAAGTAAGATAGGCATGATTAGCTTTAAACCCAGTCTGACAGACGAGTTGTATATATGGAAAAGCAAGAATTTTCAGTAACATGCTATATGTGCAATACGTACATTTGACAAGAGACGAACACACCACCTGAAGAAACTCTGATCGTGAGCCTCAAGGGGCTTATCATAAATACGAACTGATTGGCGGTAAACCACCAGTCGTAAGGTAACTCTGACTCTAACTCCGAAACGCGCTAGTGTCTTGGTCGTGAATTTCGAGGAGACTGAAACCAGGAACGACCGTGCTGGCGAAGGCCAGCAGCAATTTAACCGACCGACCACGGGTATACTTAACCTGTTGCAGAAGCCTGTGCTGACAGAAAACCTCTGCATATCATGTATAAATGATAAGTGCAATATATAAGGCAGTGATATAAGGTGCACAGAGTCCATAGAGACCTGGACGCCGTGACAGCGCGGATATACTCGTACTGAAACTGAGGTGCACACAAACGTAGCGCCTGCGCAGACACACCGACCCCTGTACAGTGCAGTGCAGTGCAGTGACCTGGACGCCGTGACAGCGCGGATATACTCGTTTTGAAACTACGGTGCAACAAANTAACGCCTACATAGAGAGGCTGAACCCTGTACAGTGCAGTGACACAGAGCCCACAGTGACCTGGACGCCGTGACAGCGCGGATATACTCGTGCTGAAACTGCGGTGTAACAAAATGTAACGCCTACATAGAAAGACTGACCCCCTCCCTCATTGAAGAGGAGGCGCAATGAATCCGATCACCAATCCGAACCTCGTGTCCAGTTACAAATATATATGTTTGTTCTTTTGTGTCAGTATTGTAACATGTTGCGCAACGGAGAACCCCTCCCTACCCAGCAGCAACGTGGCAACTCAGGCCACAGGCGCGTGGCGGTAACGTAGCGCTCCCTCCCACCCCTCTGCGGTGACGTAACGCGCAACGCTGCGTACCCGTAATCAACTTCCTACTGTGACGTGGCACGCAACAGGCAACACTGCGGCTATATAAGTGAGCTGCACAGCGGCTGCGAGTCAGTTATAAGGTAACAGTCGCCGAGCTCAGTCCTCGAGCTACCTCCGAGAGTTCCGAGCAAGCCGACGAGTCAGTGTGTTATCAACAGTTCTCCAGTGAGCAGACTACAGTTGGAGTATAGCAGCCGTCGCGGAAAGAAGAACCGGACGTGTGTGTAATTGTGTAATTGGGAGTGTATGATACAGTGATACATAGCTCCCATACTATAAACGTGTAGACTACTGAAGACAGAGTGAACTGATTTGCGCATAGGGTTATAAAGTGTGAAACCCCGCAACAGTGTTAACAGATTAATGCGATTAGGGTTATAAATCGTGAAACCCCGCAACAGTGTTAACAGATTAATGCGATTAGGGTTATAAAGTGTGAAACCCCGCAACTGTGTGATGAGTAATTGTAGCCGTTACTTGTAGATTGTTGAATAAACCAATTAACCATCCATACGGCGTCTTCAGTAACCAGAAACACGTTACAGTATGTTTGCGCACGCGAATTGTTATTAGGGGTTCGGAAGACTTATATCTGTTAATAAATTATTACACCCGTTAATCTGACAGAAAAAAATATGTTTTCTCTATGTCCACATTTTCATGAAACACATTGCAGTCAGGTTGAATTCTGCTGTCTTTTCTGCAATCTGTTTTCATATATAATTGCCTCTTTACATGAGCTCCGTGTAAGAAAATCCTTTTTTTTTTATCTTAATCATAAAGAAAGAAGGGCACGGTTCGCACATAAATCTCACGGATCCTAACAAGATTCGTCTCACTCAAGGCAGGATCCATTGGCGGCTCGTGGGGACATAACTCCAAATTATGCTCTCTATAGCTTCATTGTAACACGTTAAGTGACTTTATAGACATATTGTGGCGTGCTTTCTTCTGATTGGTCCAACCCGATCCGTACCGGTTCTGACACCAGTTGTCGCGTGTTTATTAGGCAACGCGACAAGAAATTTTGTGGGTTCCCGGATTTGAACGAATATTTTATTGGACAGTCACTTTTACACTCGCAAGTGCACTTATTGCACTTATAACCGATATCATGATGAAGCGTCTTCTAGCCTGTTCTCCTGCCGAATACCAATTCTACTCTTCTAAGGTCAAATACAAAACTGAAAACTCGTAGCGTGCGTTCGGACTGACTAGGGAACATCGTGTTCAAGGGTTCCGTTCTATCCGATGGTAGGGTCGCGCCATAGCTCAAGCAGTTAGTCGCTGGCTTCCCACAGCGGCGGCCAGGGTTCGATCCCGGGTCTGGCCAAGTGGGATTTGTGGAGGACAAAGTGGCGCCGGGGCAGGGTTTCTCCGTGTGTACTTCGGTTTCCCCTGCCAATCTTCATTCCACCAATTGCTCCCTAATCACCCTCACCTATCATATGGGTCGGGTAAAATAAGCCAGAAGTAGCCGCAGTACAAGGGACTTAGCTCCACCCCACTAACAATAAAAAAAAATCCAATGGTAGTATTCGTTCCCATGGATAACATTTCTTATCCGGGGAAACGCATTTATTTAGGTGTTTCCTATGCAACCGTCTGCTGGTACTGCGTTTTCACTGAAGTAACATTCTTATCGCAGCCGTTGCCTATCACTTGACGTCTTTTCATCCGGCTTTTTGGCGGCACGCCACAATATGAAACATTTGAATTAAAATTAAAAGTGATTAATGTGAAAATCACCTGTATCAGTATTTCTGATGTTCGCATAGCAGAGAAATTATAGAGGAGGAAAGCATTTCGGTCTATATACGAGTACACGGCGACTGAAATATCCTGACACAAGTTAAAATGACAAGCACGCTACGGTTTGTATTGCTATGCACTGCGTGCCCTACAGAAGTGAGTTGTGACTCTTTCCTTCGTGTGACGTCATGTTTATGCATGGATAGACCCAATAGAATACGGGGAGACAGGGGCTTTCGGTTTGTTACGGGGTACTCCCTAATGCACTTACTCGCAGCTGAATTTATTGAACCACACATTGCATGAGTAATGCAGAAATGAAGATCAAAATATGTTCAGGAATGATGCATGACATGTACCCGAGACGAAAATACAGTTAGAGAGAACTCCACAAGCCTGGCGGCAAACCCTGTGAGAATTAATCTAGTTCGCTACTTTGTGTCCATCTCTGTGGATTGGAAGAGGAACCATGCCCAAGGACAGCAGGAATAACACTGCCTACGTTTTACGCTCTTCAATTTGCATAGAAACATGGAAGTTAACTGGAGAAACTACCATATTATGTGCCTTTATAATACTTTCCTGTCTGTATTATATGATAATCAAAGAGTGAAAATTTATTAAATACTTTGATGAGTCTTGCATCATCTTAAATTAATGGAAGATAAAGTTTGTCGTGGTCAGAAATAAGGTTCTTGTAAGATTTGAGGTTTTCACGGCGATGACTATGAAGAATACCGTCTTCTGGATGTGGCGCCATGTAGATCTTGTGTGAACAGACGTTTCGAAGGAACGTACCACCTCCATTTTCAGGGTAGAAAAATTCGCGAGCGAGGAACCAGCGTAAGCAGGTGGCTGCAGTCTGCAGAGACCTGTTCACGCTGGTTACTCGCTCGCAGATTTTTCTACCCTGAAAATGGAGGCGATACGTTCCTTCGAAACGTTTGTTCGCACAAGATCTACACGGCACCACATCCCAGAAGACGGTATATTTCAACGTTCATGTAGTTTTGGGATCAGAATGCCAAATCAAATGACGTTACCTGAAATCCATCGTAGGTCCAAGAGCCGAACTTCATGAAGCATGTTTGCTGGTCGAAGGGGAAGTACCTCACATCGATCTCGCAGGAGGACTTGAAAATGGCGGGCGGAGTCCAGACCACCTTGCCAGTGTGGTGAAGCACAGCCTTTGTCATCGTAGTGACAACGTATTCTCCATCCGCGCTACAACAGACCATTAGCTCATTAGTATGGTGCGCATTAAGGACCACGTTATTGTTCTTAATAAGTCGCGGGATCGAATCCCGATGAGGTGGATCTTTTCAATTGACCTCATCCTTCCAGCCACACTATGGCCCTGGGGTCGACTCAGCCACTAACAGAAATGAGTACCAGGAATATATTCTTGAAATCTTCCTGGGGAGTAAAGTGCGGCCGGCGCGCAGGGCTGACAACCTTGCCGCCATCTATGAGCCGATTGTCTAGAAAATGTGGGAACCTCAACGCCTCACAACCCTATGGGCCTCCACGGCCTGTTACAGGGATAGCTTTACTTAACTTTTTACTTCACAGATATCCCTCTCCAGTCGCGGTTTTCTTAACGGCAGATTGAAAGTGTCTTCAGTTTCCAATTTGCAGCCAACCTTGCCAAACGCTGCGTTTGGTTCTAAGTATCCGAGTTTTGACGGCGTAGGTAGAGGGTGATTTTAGTGTTTTAATTAGTACGTGATGTGAACACTGAATGTTTTCTGCTTAGTGAAAGAGCTGACAACTTAGTACCCTTGCAGGGAAGCAAACAGGACATCTCCTGAATACGTTGCTGTTCTCATGCAGAGAGAATGTAAACACAAAACTGAAGAAATGAAAGTAGACGAAAATGTCTCGCGTTTTGGACAGGAGGAGAGAAATACTGACGAGAAATTGACAAGACAAGATGGAAGAAAAGCAGAAAAGATTAAGACGGAGGAGCAGAAGGAGAAAGAACAATATTAGAAGCGCTGAAAAGAGTTAAATATTCGGGAAAGTGCGAAAGAGCTAAGTTAAAGGAAAGCAATATGAAGACATATTACAAATGAAGGAATTTTGATGAGGGGCACGGAATGACGCAGTTTGTTAAGACACTATGATACAGATTGGAAGGTCGCGGGTTTGATTCCCGATGAGGGAATTGGATTTTTCAAGTTTTCAGCCGCACTATGGCCCTGGGGTTAACTCACCCTATAAGAGAACTAAGTATTAGGAAACTTCCTGGTGGCGAAGGGCGGCCGGCGCTTAAGGCTGACACATTCACTGCTATCTGTGAACCGATTTTCTAGGAAATGTGGTAGCCTTGACGTCCAACAACCCTACTGGCCTCCATGGCCTCTTACAGGGATAGCTTTACCTATACTATTAGGAAGTTTGAAGTACGTTTACAGAAAGTGCAAAAATTCTTTCTGCCAGTTTTAACCAAAATGTATTTTAGTTGTAAAATACCTCTTTGCAATAGGCCTAATGACTGAGCCAGCAATACCTCCTGGCAACTGGGATAACGAAAATGGAAACATGAGGAAGCGCCATCTGCATTGATGTCTACTGCCATCTATGAGCAGCGTTCACACTGATCGCTCATGTGTATCAATCACAGTACACCTATCATATTTGTCTGAACCAGTCACAGACCCACTAACAAAACAATGTCTTACATGTGTTCGGTTGGGATGTTGTGGTGCTTGGAAATAATTACAAATAATATACAAGCTACTGTTTATTTTATGGTGGATGATAAGTTTTGATTTTGATTTTATATCATTGTGAGACGGGAAATATTTACGCACGAATTTACATGTCAGTGTTTAACGTGTTATATATTTTTTATATATCTTACGCTTACTACACGGCATAAAGTTACATGTCCGTGTTTAACGTGTTATATATTTTTTATATATCTTACACCTACTACACGGCCTGAAGTTAGAAATGCATACGGTGGTTATGATGAAATTACATCTAACGTCTTTAAATCTTACATAGGATACGTAAGTATGCAGTTAAAATATTTTTGTTACAATTGAATGGAAGTAAGTTTTTGTATTTATAATATAATGACCCGGTCTGCATTCTTTGGTTTAGCCCAGAGAAGATTCTGTGTAATTTCAAGAAACTTGACTGTGCTACAGTTTTGTATTGCTTTTTACACGATGAAATAAAATGGAATGAAATAATTAATAACAATATTGTACTAACGTAACTGGCGAACTACGAAGTTGCCACAGGAAACTAGACTTTATGAGTTGTGCTAAGGACTTCATGCTGTACTAAAAAATGAGTGAAGCAAAATTCATAACGCACGTTAATTAAAACGCTGTTTTATATTCTTGCAATAAACGCTCATAATATTCAAGCCACTCTTAGCAATATGAATTGTAATATTATATGCTTTACCCTGTTACTAAATGTAATACAGTCCATGTTTATGTTTGCGTATTGCAGACGTGTATCAGTCTCTGGCAAGAGCACAGCTCTTAATGTTTCAGTTTGTTACTAAATGGCCTCGCCATAGCTCAAGCGGTTAGTCGCTGGCTTCCCACCACGGCGGCCGAGTTCGATCCCGAGTCGGGTCAAGTGGGATTTGTGGTAGACGAAGTGGCGCTGGGGCGGGTTTTCTCCCAGTGCTTCGGTTTCCCCTGCCAATCTTCATTCAACCAAATTCTTCTTCATCATAATCACCCGGGGCAGCCTACAATAGGTCAATCAGTGGGCGCCGTGCCGAGTGGACCCAGTTGGACTCCACCCCCCACTAAGCGAATTAAAAAAGAAAAAGTTACTTAGTCCTTACTTCAGTATGTCACATCAAGATTCATTGCCCGAATGCACTTAACTTTATTTTCTACAATGCTCACAGCGTAACACAGGGCAAGTTGATTTACACACGAGGAAATTGGAATCTTGAGCTGAGTTCTCAGCAGATGGGTGCAGGTGCTGCTGACAGTGTAATTCTCGTGAGGTTTGAAGTTCTTACGACGAGGAATAGATTACTGTCCTACGCGATGCGGTGACGCGACACGACGTGACGCCGTTAGTCTGGTAGATGTTTGCCGACGTTTTTGAGGAATATGCTTCTACCTTCAGTGTCATTGATATGTACATTATTGAGTTAACAGAATTATTACTAAAGAAAATTTATGTATGCTTCGAAAATGTGAAGAAGATTGAATATTTTGTAACGGTATTAACGAATAAAAACAATTTCACGGAAAAGTTAGGTCACATTAAATTTGGAGAACCGAACTCCTCTCTTCTCATATCCTATCAAGTAGCTTAAAGATCAATAGGCGTATGTGCAGGCGTACAGTTCTGTTGCTTTATACTGTGGCATGTAGACCCGTTGCTAGGCAACAACCACGAGACAAACAAGTATACAATAAAGAAAGCAGTCTTCTAGGATTTGGCACCGTGTATATGTGGTGTTAACCGACGTTNCAACGGCTCGTAAAAATTAGCAAAGGAACTGTGTTTTCTGTGCGGTCCGTGCCGAGATGTTATAAGGACAGCTAGTGAAAGGTGAGTTCAGTCAGTTGAGTTAAATTGGGTTAGTTGGTTGGTGAGTGACTGAGGTACTCAGATAACTGCTGAGGTTCAATCGTCCCGAGCTGTTGCTCTGAGAAGCTGGTAGCCGAGACTGGGAGAGTTCGGGGACTAAGAGGAAGGGGAACATATGCGGTGGAAAGTCGCTACGGAGGAACGTGGCTGCGGCGTTAGTGTAATAGTGTGCTGTAAAGTGTGGTCACGCACTGTGTCAGAGAGTCCAATATATCCGACCATCAATCCAAAACACTTATATAGTGAGTCACATGAAAATATGAGTGCGTGTTTCACCTTAAGGTAAATACATGGATTAAGAACGTTCAAGAACAATGTGCTAAGGACAACACACGTGTTTCGATCTGAAGAGGAGGAAGTAACAGGAAGTTAGGGATATTACTAAACGAGAACGACAATGGTTGCTGCTCCTGATCAAACGTTTTAGGACAACCAAATTATGGAGAATTAGATGGGCTGGCCACATAGCACACAAAGAAGATAAGAAATATATACGAAATTTCAGTCTGGAAATATGAAAGAAGAGACCACTTGGGATACCTAATGTAAATTGAGTGATAATATTAAAGTGGACCTTAGAGGAATAATATCATGAAATATTGATTGAATTCAGGAGAGGGTCCACTGGCGAGCCCTTGCGAAATTTTTTTAGCTCAAAATCAAATTCGCCAAAAATGGAGCAATTAAAAATGACAGCCAAGTAACATAATACCAACTCAGAGAAACACCTTATTCAGGACAGCCGTCGCGAATAAGGGGGGCGCTAGCCATCAGACAGCCCGGCACGAGAAACCAAACATAAACAGTATTTCACTAGCTCCCTTACTGGCTGCTGGTAACGGCTTGGACAAGGTCCTTCGTTGCCGTCCCTAGACCAAGCTGCAGAGGCTGCAGAGCATGCTAGAACAGCTATAGGGCTGATCACGTGATAAATCATAATGGGAGAACATTCTAGAATCTATAACAACCGGAGGAAGGGTAGAAGGAAGGGGATAAGAAGAGAGGCCGCTAATCCGAGACACGAGTAGGAATGGCTCAGACGTTACGTTCTCAAGAAGAATTTTACCCAATGGAATTAGAGTTTTATTTTTAAAATTACAAATGGCAGAAGTATTGTGCCGAATAGTGACTACAAAATTTATAATTTCGTAGTCTGTGAAATTCTTTTTATTTCTAGTGGGGTGGGACTAAGTCCCTTGTACTGCGCCCACTTCTGGCCTATTGTACCAGCCCCAGATGATAGGTGAGGGTGATTGTGGAGCAATTGCTGGAATGAAGATTGGCAGGGGAAACTGAAGTACTCAGAGAAAACCTGCCCCAGCGCCACTTTGTCCACCACAAATGCCACTTGACCAGACCCGGGATCGAACCCGGGCCTCCGCGGTGGGAAGCCAGCGACTAACCGCTTGAGCTATGGGGCGGCCCAATCATGCAAATTTAGTGTGTACCGACTGCCATGGTCTCCTTCATTACAAAGGTGTGCCCCATGCGTCACAATATTAACATTTAAAGCAACAATATGATTTTTCGCCGTTGAGCTAACATACACCTCGAACAGTGCAGCATAACAGCAGACATGGCGTACCCTAACGAGCATACAGAAAACTTCAAATGGATGAGCCTCGATAGATAAAAAAGTAGCA